GCTCGGTCATTCTCCACCACCTTTGGGGGTGTTCCCCACTTTGCAAGCTATATGGAAATCACAAAAAAAGAGAAGCTAAATAGGTTTCTATAATAGTAGTAAGTCACAACACCAGATTCTGCTGGGGAATTGTGTAAATTCAGGTGACAAATTAAGGCTATGTCTCTATGATGGCAGTTTCTATGCTGAAAATTGCATTAAGCTTTTAAAGGAACAAATGCTGCCTTCAAAACCAGGTCTTTTCCAAGGACAGCCATGCATTTTTCAAGAAGACAATGTGAAACCGCAGTCAGCGCACATTACAAAGGGATGGTTGGGTACAAAAGGGTTGAACTCCTCTGCCTGTTTTTTTTTTCTGACCTGTCACTGATCAAGATGTATGCATATTTCCAAGAGAATAAGAACTGTATTTGGCTGCACACTCATATAACATTTGGAAAATATAAAATCTGAAAAGATTGACTTCTGTTTTAGATGAGAAACTGCAACATTTTGTAGTACTAAACGGTTTGCTATGACAACTATGTTCTGCTACAAAACCTACATACTGAGTTCTTTGGGTTTATGGTTTCTAAATATAAAAACCATATCAGTTTTTGTTTAATTAACATTTTCATTGCATCCTACCTGTTTTCTATTTCAGAAGGGATGTATGACTGCTGCAGTTTGAATAAGCGAGCTGTCATAATTATTCATCTTATACTGATTATTAAACCTTGATAATGTCATGGTAGGAAGGAGGGAATACTTAATCCTTTTGTTTTTTGTTTGCTTTGTTTTTAATGGACTGGAAACTGCATTTGTGGTTGTTAATGCGTGCGTCTCTGTAAGAGACGTCTGATTCTCACAATAGTGTTAACATCAACTTGTTTGACCAAAACAATAGAGCCACTTAGCCATTAAGCATGTTGAAAAGAACACTGAGGGCCCACTCTCCTGCCCTTTAATAAATCCCAGACGTTGCTCTACACACAGGAAAGAGAGCTTTTTGTTGACAAAAATCTGCTCGGTGTATGTCAGCTGAACCCTCTGCTTGTGTAGTAATATTTGCATTTTCAGTTAGAAGCGCTGTTCACGTCAGGTGAACTGATGCGAAAATTACTTTGGCCTTTAATTGCTCAACTATTTCATTTTTTATATCTTTTGTCTTCACACTCTGTCGGCCCTCTGTGTTGTCCCCTTATGCCTGTAGGTCCCCTGCAGATGGCAGGGACTGTGCCCGGTCCCATGAGACTAAATGTCCCACAGT